TATATATATATATATATATATGTGTGTGTGTGTGTGTGTGTGTGTATGTGCGCGCGCGCGCGCGCGCACGCATTTAGGCTTTAGTATAATTGATGATTTCAATGCCTTACTATTTAAATTTATATATATGTTGTTGATGGATATTAAAAATACGGATCATGGATTGTATAGATTGTATCTATGTAGAAAATGACTCTCTGATGAGTTTTTGAATGATATAGCAGAATCTGTGCAAGTGACATCACAACTGTTCATTGGTTTTTCGGAAAGTAAGTTTCAAGGTCCATGTATGAAGCACAAAAATCAAGCATACCTAACACAAGTTGAAACCAAGTTGAATTTATACCGTGAGGATTTTCAACCTATGTATTGGTGTTGGACTGCATATGGTGAGTATGAACCAGATGTTCAGTAGGATCGTATTGGTGTTTCATCAAATTTTGCCCCTCCAAAGGAATATGATCCTAGCATATGAAGACATGCTTTTTGATACAAGTAGAGCTCATTTCGTTTAGAATGTTCCCAAGGATGATCAAGCGTCGAACGATGAAGCGTAAAAATTTTTCTAATTTACTAAATGCTGCACAATAACCTTTGTGGGAAGGTTGTACCACAAATTAAAAGTCAACAATAGCGCTGAGAATATTGAGCATTAAATTATATTATAATATATCTAGATAATGCTTTAATCAAATTGCACTATTAGTGAAGAAAAGAAACCCTAAGAAAATTTTAGTTTCATAAAACCTCTAGAGAACAAAAATATTGGTATCAAAGTTAGGGTTATTATTTCATGAGATAGATTGTTGTGTTAATGGTTGCATATTATATTACAAGGCAAAAGAAATACAGACGTAATGCAGATTTGGTTGTGTTGAGAGATTCAAATCAATAGACTGAGAAAATAAAAAATTACAAAAATTTTTCACACAAATGTCTCTTCTATTTACCCCACATTCTCCGGCTTCAAAGATGATTCGTTTCTACACATACAGCTCCTCACATGACATAGCATAAAAACAGATTTGTTGATACCAACTCTTTGGGTCATCTGTCAGATGAGGAAGCCTGGAATATTTCGAGCGTACTTACCTGACTTTGTTATTGAACCACACAACATTAAACTTAGTTTATGTGTATATTGGTTTACACCATACAGTCAGACTGCAACACTGCTTATCTTGGCCCGTAATTATTACACGATATAACTTGCCTCTGATTTGTGCATGACCATGTCGTTCTATTTCTAACGTTGATCATATCATGTCTACATAGCTCAAAAAGAAAAACTATTGACTACTTACAACCTATAGATGAGCTTCAAACATTATGGAAAACAGACGTGCTTAATAATAATATTACTATGAAACAAAATTTTAAACTTAAAGTTGCGCTGATGTAGAAGATTAGTGATTTTTCAAGTTATGGGATGCTATCTAGTTGGAATAATGCGGAAAAATTAGATTGTCCTTAATGTATGGATCTGTACATGGCATTCACCTTAAATCACGCCATGCCCAATTAATAACTAAGGACAATTTATGATAGATGATTAATGAAATACTAAAGATAATTGAGAGCTCATAACTAACTTCAAATCTTTTGTTGTTACATTTAATTAGACAAAATGAAGTATTTTTTTGGGTATTTCATACTAGAGAACTAATTTGATTAGACATAATTTCAATGTTATGATAATTGAGAAAAAAAATTTGATAACATGTTCAATACTAGGATGGATTATAAGAGCAAAAATAAAGATAATATCAAAGCAAGATTGAACTTCGAGGAGTATTGCAAAAAGAGAGTTTGAACTTCAAGAGATAAAGACAAGTAAACTAAGAAAGTCTAAAGTTAAGTATCGTCCAATATTGGATCAAAAAATAATATTACGCGAATGGATGCATTTTTTGAAATTTTCTTGCAGATATATGTCCAACTCAAACAGTTGCGTTGACGTGGGAGCAGAAAAGATAATTGACATTAAAAATCATGCATGTCACATTTTTTTTGTAATTTTTATTGTCAATTGCATTTAGTGTTCTGTCAAATTCAATACTTAGTTCATTAATCAAACTTTGAGCATTTATTAAAAACTTATGTTTAGGAAATCTGAATATTAATGTGTTGAGAAAACTTGAAGTTAGTACTTCATTAATATTATGTAAACTCGAGCAGATATTTTCTCCTTGTTTTCTTAACTCTATGGAGCACCTGCCCCATCTTTGTTATGAGGCTATACATGAGAATTTAGTACAGTACGAATGGATGTATCCTTTTGAGGGGTATGTCATCTTAATGTCTAACTTTTTATATTATAAAGATTTATTATCATAATTTATTAAAAATGTTTAAATGTTTCATTTTTTTAAAAATAAAAAAAAAACTATACAAAATAAAGTACGTCTAAAGGGCTGAATATGCAAAGTATGCTTGTTCTTTCAGAAAATAATATTATGCTATTATTATGTTGAACAACATCATCCAATACATCAAACCAGTGGAGAGATGTCTTCACAGTCCAAATTATTAGTAATTTAGATATCAAGAGAAATATCAAGGAGGCATGTTACACGCTACCTCAATTTCGAGTGGTGGTTTTAAATATTCTTCTTAACTGTGACGAAATCCAAACATTTAGACGGTAAGATTTCTACTAATTAGACACTATTACTCATAATTTCATATTAACTTGCTCATAATAACTAATAATTATGCGAGTAAGTTGTTTGTCAGCAATTTAAACATAGAGAACAACTCTGTCATAATAAAAAAATTAAAGAAGAATTTCTAATATGTTTCAAATTATATGTTTTTTTTACATTTAAGTAACTCTTCAATTCAACAATATGTAAGTTGGTTGCTCAAATTAAAAATAATTATATTTTGAAATTTGTAATAGGTTCACAATCAGAGTAATAGAGTTATGGGTGATGACTTATTAGATCTTGTTTAAGCGTCTAAGCACAATGTCACTACATGACAAATATTTAATGTAAATGGTTATAGATTTCACACAAATTCTTGCGTGTAATGAAGAAGACGTATAATTGTGATGCCTGAGTTAGAGGAAACACCCAATCGGATAATGAGATCAACTACTACAACATTTTGCAAGTAGTAGTGCAGTTGTGATATCCACGTTGTGTTAATTGCAACATATATTTATTCAACTATGAGTAATTTCATTGTGTTCTTAATCAAGGTATAAGAACACTAAACTCATATGATATCACGAAAGTTAAAATGAACATAAGATATGTGAAGTTTGATTTATTTGTTCTAGCACGTCAAGCTAGCCATATTTATTATCTTGGATACTCTGGTATATTTTGAGCTGGAATGAGATTCATGAGTTACCTTGATTTAGAATAAATTGAATTTATTATTGCTACATGTGTATAACTAAAATTTCTATTTCAAGTTATACCCATCCAGACAGGCCATTACGCATATCACAGAGTTCATTAATAGTAGATATGATGCTATGTATCTCTCCTAGAAGAACCTGATCGTGATTCAGGACATGTGGTTCAGAGGGTTCGAGATAAAATCAGTTGATTTGAACTGTAATTATAATTTTGTGTTTATTTGTTATATTAATAAATATTGTGTAACATTTATTTTGCACTTGTTTAAGTATCATCAGAAGATCCAACATTATTTTTAGGATCGATTCAGGCATCGGTTGGGTGATACGCTCACAACGGTCTGTAAGAAGAGAGAGCAGTCGATCTGGGTTAAGGTGGAGATAGGGGCGAATTTGATCTGATTATGGGCAACTCCCAAATATCAAGGGAAGAGAGATACAAGCCAACAGAAATAGAGAAACTAGGGAGCAGGGGCGCCACACTCCACATTGGAGTATCGGTCCCGCGCATAGAGCACTAGAGAAAGTTGACAAGATTCACTCAATACTTAATAATTCATTGATGAAATTATCTGATACTTACTATTTTTTCATGTTCACAGACTTAGGAGCTTATTCAGTCACCCGCCACTGCAGAGTAGCATTTCCAAATACATCAACACCTAGGGATGCAACAGTGAGTCTTTGACCTTCCAGCCTATCTCGACGTGTCTATGTAAGTAAAAAAAAATTGTATTTTTTTTTACAATTTAATTACATTTTTAACGTAAATTATTAATTATACATTGATTTTAATTTTATAGAACGATTACGAGCACATTTGGGACACACAGAGCCAGAGGCTGATAGCCCGCTAGTAATATTGGAAATTTAATTACATTTTTAACATAAATTATTGATTCTACCGTATTCTGATGTTTATTCTACGTCCGACAAAATCGAATGTTTTTTCATAGTTAAATTTAGCGTCCACAAGAATCTCGATGCAACATTCTAACAGCGCACATTTCAAATGCAACATCCAAAGCAAACATTTGCGTCGTCAATTCCTCATGCTAATTGCCTTTGCGTTAGGCAATTTGCCGGCATAAATTCGCTCGCGGTAATTGTCCTATTAGCAGCAAAAATATCTGACATTAATCCGCAAAATTTCTTTAGTAAAAAGGTTTAATATATTTCAAAATCTGTAAATAAACCACCATAATCTGATGAAGTGGATGCTTGCAAACTTTCTGTTCCAACATATGTGACTTTTAATAGATATATGTGTAAAGCAAAAGGCAAAACACATATTAATTTATACACATTAACAAACACAACACGTCTTCTATATAGAAGTATTCTCACTCACTTTCTATTGGAAAATAAAGCCCTAAGGGGGTGTTTGGTAGCACACTTTTAATCAGATTTAACCTAAATCCAGTCAAACACAAACACAAAAAAAAACGAAAACTAAATCCAACTCTACGTTAAACCGCTTTCTTCCATGTTCCGTCTCTTTCTCCCCATTTCATCTCCTATGGGACGTACATTCATATTTATTAAACCCGGGTGTGAGGCGGATTTAATAGATTTACATTGTTGTTTCTTGCGGCATTCGTTCCCCTCACGGCTTGCCGGATTTACCGGATTTGATAAATTATACTTAATATGAATCCGGTGCTGCAGCCAAACACGGCCTAAAAATTAATCCAAGAGCTTAATACTAAAAGATAGTCCGCATAGGATACCATCACCAGTTCACATTAAAAGTTTAACTCTAAATTTGTATCTTTGATATCACCATCTGCCCCGAGAGATTTTATGTATTATAGCGCAAAGGTTTACAACTCAGTTCAAGTGCTCGCATAACAAGTAAATATGCGCACATGCACCTAGACTAAAAACAATCAAAATATAATTTGTCTCTTTCTGAATCTCTATCAAGGGCAATTTGTCTGAACGTTAAAAGTTTAGAAGATAACACAAGTAAATGTCAAGGCAAAGACAAAAACAAAAGAAAGTTGCGTGTGAGCCAAACTCTTTAATTAATATGAGCCAATCTCTTTAATTAAGTGTTTCAGACTAAATCTACACTTATAGGGATGATTTTGAGCACAAATTAGAAGGAATCAAGCGAAGGCATCAAAATACGTACACAAAAGCACACGTTTGAATCTGTCGCTGATGAAGAAAAAAACATAGGACTACAAACTCATCCTATCTGCACTGAATTTAAGTGAAGTCCGAAAATTTTTCAAAAGCTAAGAACCCGAAAAGCTTAGCAGTATGATTTACAATCTACCGTCTTCCTTCTGATTCTAAAATCCAAATTAAATAATTATTGAAACTAAAAACTTAGTTAAATAATTAAAAAATGATTCTGGCAGCATAAGAATGATTGCAAAAACCCAAACCAAGTTATTAATTAAATAATTAAAAACGGACGATTCTGTCGGGCGCAATCACCATAAATCCAATTATTGAAAAGTATATACCCAAAAGATAAAAAAAACAAACTAAACTGCAAATTAAACAAAAAAAAAAAGAAATAATGAATTCCTTCAACAGAACCAAAACCTTCAGGTAAATTCTCAATTATGTCATGTCAAAAAAAAAAATGATGCACTATTGAAACCATAAATTCCATGAACAAATAGAATAAACCTACCCGAACCGAACCGGGCTGAACTCGACTCCCCGCCGAAGCAATGGCGTTCGCAGCTGCAGCCACCGTTTCCAAGCTATCATGACCGTTCACTCCCCTCATCACTAATCCCTTCAACAAATACCATTAAGCAGAAACCCTAACCCTCCAGCTCGGCCTCTTTTCTCTCTCGAACAACCAATCCCAGCCACCAAATAAAACAAGCAATCGAACACCAAGTTCTTCCCAAAAGAGCACAGAGCTGAGAATCCTCACCGGAAGCGTATACTTCCCGCCACCAAAGAACGGAGACGGAGTTTCAAGATCTAAGAGCAGAAGCAGAGGGAACTTCGCAGCAGAATCTGAGAAGACTTTAAGTAACGAACGTCGAGCAGGCCAGTGAGAAGAAAGTTACAGATGCCCACAACTCAATTAAACAAATTACACTCCTACCATTTCAACTGCTCGATTGCCCAATATAAATCCTCTGGGAAGCGTGTGAAATTAAAAAAGGCCATGCACGCGTGCGCCACACGTGCGGAGTGGCTGTTGTTGTCTTACACGGCTCTTTCTTCCACATCCACGTGAACAGAAAACTGGTCCAATGTTTGGTGTCCGTCGATATTTATGGCGGTGAGTTTGATATTAGCACGACTCTTGAAGAAAATCCGACGGATGTAGGAGCTTTTTCTTTCTTATGGAAAAGCGAATTTGCATGGGATATTTACCAGTGCTGGTGGCTGTTTGATCAAAAGGCAAGACTTGACGGTTCACCGAACCACCGGCAGCGAAAAGCAAAAAATAAAATTTCCGAAACTTCTTTTCATAATAAAAAATTCCGAATCATTTCACGTAGTGTTGATTTGGTCTATAAATAATACTCTTTCCACAAATATATATATATATATATATATATATATATGTTGAATTAGAGAATGACATGTAAATCAATATCAAAGAATAGAGCGTTGGACAGATGAGAGGAACAGAAGAAGCAAAGAAGAAAAAATATAATACATATTAATGCAAGTTTGCAAAGAATAAATTCAATACATCCCTTTTTGAAGAGAAATGACCCTCCTTATTTATTGATCATATAGGGTTTTTAGTAAGTTACATAATTGTTTCTAGTTTAATATAAATGTCAAAGTAATTAATATGCATCTTTATATTTATAACTAACTCTAAAATTCATAACTAACACTAGCACTATTTTATATTCGTAACTGCTAAAAGGAAAAGTACTTAGGTCGAAGAAGAATAGCTTGCCTTAGCTTCTTCTTGAGGAAGAAGAAGAAATCCCTCAAGAAATGTTCTTGGAAGCTCCTCGAATGCCCTCCCTCGAGCTCTCTTCTTCCGTAAGCTCCCCCAAGCAAAGTGACAGCAGATCCTTGCAAAATACCCTCCTCCCCATTGGTCAAACAACCATAGGAAGATTAGCTAAGGGGTCTAAGCCATTTTTTCAATTTGGAATGGCCCTAAAATATCTCATATACCTTATTTTGATGAAGAGCTAGGCAAAAGGGGATGGACTGGCGGTCCTGGTCGCCTTGTCGTCGGGAATTCGGGGATCAGAGGGTCAAAATTCATGAACTTGTCTCGACGACATGGCCACGCTCGAGATGTGGTCACGCCACTATTTAAAGTGTCGCAGATTAATGGCGCATGACCACTCTCGAGACCCGGTGTAATTACGTCGAGTGTTCTTCCTGGGCCACGTGGTCACGCCACTTGCGAGCGTGGTCACACAGATCGACAAACTTGGGTGTCTGTTAATATTTAGGCATGGTCATGCCTAGATTGCTGTGTAATTATGTCGTAGCCTCTGTTTGGCAGGCGTGGCCACGCCACCTTTAGGTGTGGTTATGCCGACCACAACCTTTTGGGGCTATGTGGGGTGGACTTGACAAGGCCATGCCTCAATTAGGTATGGCCACGTCACTAACTAGGTGTGTTCACACCTGAATTACATATGGTCACATCAGAATATAGAAAGATTGGGCTTTCGTAGAAGGTTGCAAAGGGGGTTACAGGTCTCGCGGACCTCCAGAGCATCGAATTTGAGCAGGTAATGATCCTTGAACCTCCTTAGGGACCATAAATGCATTTCAAAATAGTTAAAGAAGCTAAATTGTCTACGTATCCTCGAGCAGAGCAGTTCCAGCATGAAATTCGCCTATTCAGGTCTTGGAAAATAAGGCTCAGACATAGTACGAGGTACTCTAGTTGACGGTCTGCACCAAAAGAATGCCCATATCAACAGGATACAACCTTTTGTCACAGGAATAAAAGTCAACCTGGAGGATACCAGAAGCAATGTCGGCTTTGCCACGATTGACTCAAGGCGCGGTTATGACGGTGTAGAACCCAACTATAGTGTCATGTCACTCGACGAGGATATTTGTGTATGTTGCATAAAAATATATGTCAAGTACAAGTTTAGAAGAGAGGTGATTGCAATCAGTCTCCAAGTTGAAGATTGTACTGTGGAGGATGATTGTGTAAGAAAAAAATTACACCCAATACCTAGCTGGGTGCCCCAAATCCTAGCAGAGACCTCTAGAAATGAGCAACAATTTGACCCCCTGATGTGGCGCCTGAGCGCCAGAAAAAGATTCTCCAAAATCAAGCTGGAATAAAAATGTTGCCCAAATACATTTGTTTCTAGTGTTAGAAACAGAGCACCTAGAAACTCTACATCTCGGTACGGCGCTTAGGTGCATGTAACTAAAATGTGCAATTTAGCCTTTAAAGGATCATCATCATTGCGGGACTTGTGCATGCACTAAAGCTAGATTTTACGAGTTCTCTTGTGAGAGAGATGTTGGAGTGCCCGCTAGTTCCATGTGTAGAGAGGTTTTAATGGTGTATTTTGCACATTCTCCCCATTTCTTCATAGTAAATTTTTTGGTGTGATGTGGTTTGTGATTTTTTCTATTGCTAAGGTTTTTTTCGTATTAAATTTGAGTGCTCAATATTTTCTCTTTTTTATTACTTTATGTGCATATGTGCTTTATTTTATTTCAGAACTCTCGAATTAGTTTGCACAGTTTCCTCACAACATGTACTTCATAAAATTTTATATATTTATTTATGTAATACCTAAATTTTAGATTTATTTATATAACCTTTATATTTTAAATTATAATAAAAATAGACTAACTTATTTAACTAAAATACATAAGATGTTAAGGCCCATGCAGACTTTCATGGTGTGGTGAGGAAGCTTCATATATGTATGTATTTATATATATAACCTAAAATAATAACCTAAAAAAATAACCTAATATATATATATACACACACACTAGAGGCTTTTATACGAGCCCCGATCATCCCCAATGTATCTAGCAATTCGAGTACCACACCCTCAACCGGGGGAAATTGAACCTCAGACCAGAGGGGACTTACAACTGACAAGCAGATGCCCGACCAACTGATCTGAGAACGCGACGCAGTGGGGAAGCTCTATATATATATATATATATATAT